TCACCACCACGGAGTTAGATGATGCTGGGGGGAGGAATGTGCATGAGAGTTCAGCTAGACATAACAATACTGGATCTAGTGTGTGACCCAAGGTTATTGAAATAAGAGATGATAAGAATTGGCGGGCTGGAGGGCTGGAGGGAAAGCCTGCATTTCAAACTAATTGGAGAATGTGATTTATGACTGTTAATTGGAGGAGGGTATTGTGCTTTGATACTATGTGCTCAGGGGATGGGAATCCAGTTTTTGGCTTTGACTGTTAGTGCCGATGCTATGCTTCTCAAATAAAGATTCTTTAAGATAAACAATGCCTCGAAGTTCTTTGAAGAGTTTCATCTGTCGGAACCATGACAGTTACAGTTAACAGTTATTAGTTACTGCATAATCCAATGTTAATATTGACTTTAGTATTAATTAAACTTTCAATGGGGCGTGATAGCTCAACAGTTAAAGACTCTGAGCTTAACAGCTGGAGAACTGACAGCCCAAGTTCAAGATCTAAGTTCTGCACAACAGGATGAGCTCCCATTACTTGTCTCAGCTCCTGCACAACTAGCAGTTGCAAATGCAAGTAGATTAATAGGTACAATTTCAGTGGGAAGGTAACAATGTTCCATGTGCCTTTGGTTATAGTCATGCTGGTCACATGACCAAGGAAATTGTCTTCAGACAATGCTGGCTTCCTCAGCCAAGAAACGGAGATAAGCACTGAGCTCTAGAGTTGGACATGACTGACAGGGAAACCTTTACTTTTAAAGTTTCAATTACTATAGTATTGCAGTATGCATATGTATTTAAATATATTTTGGAAACCTCTTAGCTAATTTTCTGATGTTTATAAACCTTCCATTTTATCTACTTTGATTTTTTTTTTACTGTGCCTTTAAAATTAATACATTAATAAATCAGAGAAAGCAGGGGAGAATGTTTCCAAAATGGGCTTAACATCATTTCATCTGTAAAACACAATCTTGGTGTTAGAGTGGAACACGAAGTGCTTAAGGTAGCTGGAATAGGTGTTTCAGGTATACAATGAAATCTTGATTTAAGGCAGGGGTAGGCAACCTTGGCTTTTTTATGACTCGTGGACTTCAACTCCCAGAATTCCTGAGCCAGCATGGCTGGCTCAGGAATTCTGGGAGTTGAAGTCCACGAGTCATAAAAGAGCCAAGGTTGCCTACCCTGGGGATCACATTTTGATGGGTCCGCATCAGCTTACTATACTTGGTAATCTGTCTGTGTAACATGGTCAACCCTTTTAAGATTCCCCACTTTTGGGTGCTGCTGAAGAATTTCCAAGCACTTTGTCAAGACCTTTGACTGAGAATAAATGCATTTCATACTTTCTGAAGCTGGATCCAGCAAATTAAGTTTGTCCATCGAACTAGAGCCTATAGATTTCCTCTGCAAAAAGGTTTTAAATTTTGTACCTAACTAGTTTCTCTTTTCCTTTCATTCTCCCTGTTCCTCTTTGACATTCCCATTTGCTCAGTACAAGGCTGAAGTTACAAGGAACCGGCTCTATTTCTGTACAAATCTTAGCTCTGAAGTTTAAAGGAAGAGGATCAAATAAAAGGCCAATTCAATGTTGTTTCTCTCTGTGATATAAGAACATCTGCCCCTTGCAAGCTGGGTAAACCACCTTTTGACAGTGAAAGAGTCAGCTATGCTCCCCTATGAGAATGCAAAAAAAAAATAAATCTTTAGAAACAAAGATTTAGTGCTCTGGAAAAATGCTGACCTATTTTTTAAAGCATGGATTTAGGTTTTTTTTTAAAGCAATACTGTTATATATATAGAAACTGGAAAAGAAAGACAAATTCTGCCGTATGTATATTGCGAACTGATATGACCAGGTGTGTGACCGGTTTCTGGAATTGAGTATGTCTAGTCTAAGGAAGAGAAGGACGAGGGGGGACATGATCGCAGTGTTCCAATATCTCAGGGGCTGCCACAAAGAAGAGGGAGTCAAGCTATTCTCCAAAGCGCCTGAAGGCAGGACAAGAAGCAACGGGTGGAAACTAATCAAGGAGAGAAGCAACCTAGAACTAAGGAGAAACTTCCTGATAGTTAGAACAATTAACCAGTAGAACAACCTGCCTCTAGAAGTGGTGAATGCTCCAACACTGGAAGTTTTTAAGAAGAGATTGGACAGCCATTTGTCTGAAATAATATAGGGTAGTGATGGCAAACCCTTTAGAGACTGAGTGCCCAAACTGCAACCCAACCCCACTTATGTATTGTCGGGTGCCAGTTGGGTGTGGCCCATTGTGTGGGTGTGGGCAATTTTGTGGCCGTGGCCCATTGGGTGGGCGTGTCTTCCGTGGTAACGGCAGACTGCGTGGGACTAAAAAGTTCAATCAATCAATTCCAACTTTGCGAGATCTTTTTTTCCCACGAGAAGTTGAAATTGATTGATTGAACCTTTTTTTTTGCATCTGGTAGCGGAGGCCTAAAGCAAATAGGGTTTATAAAAACCAGCTGAAGTCCTAGCACTGGGGCGACAGTGCACGTGCCCAGAGAGGGCTCTGCGTGCCACCACAGGTATAGGGTTTCCTGCCTGAGCAAGGGGTTGGGCTAGATGACCTCTAAGGTCCCTTCCAACTTTATTATTATTATTATTATTACTACTACTACTACTACTATTACTACTACTACAGCTTTTCTGCTGTTTCTGCTGAAAAGTTTTACATGGATTTGATTTTTACTATTTTATTTCTTTTATGTTTCTCAGGACTCTTGCAAGAATGCTATTGCCTTGACAAAACAATGCTCTTGGCCATAGCTCTTTGTGTAATGCACCATGGTTACTTCTTATCCTCACTGTAGAGTAGAACGGCACCTTTTAGCCCATTCTGTTTGTTCCAGCTTTGGAGGTTTTCCATATTAAGAGTGATGACAGTTCTTATAGGCAGGCCACTCACAATTGCATGATTCCAGAAATCTCCTCTGGTACACGTGTTTTCCATAGCTCTTCCCTGGATTCTTCCAGTCATGAAATCAACTGGATCCCTTGGTCACTCATTGCCAGTACAGCCACTTTCCTGCAGTGCTCTTTGGAGATGGTGTTTGTTTATAATAAATAATTCCCATCTATTTTACTTGACATCCCTTTTAGGAGCCTGCCTTTTGTTAATTGAGCAATTTGACAGGTAGCTAAACTTTTTATTGTAAGCCTTCACACAAACTTTCCCACTCTATACTAGGGACAGTGATTGGTAGATGTTTTTCTACCAGCAAGAGTTGCTTTCTGGAAGGGGAAAGCAAAGCAAAAGGAATCTATCAGTCCCTTTCTTTATGTGGCCTGCAGTAAATAAATAATAGCACCATTTGCTGACATTGTTACTGTAGTAGAATAGGATTCTACAGAATAGAAGAGGCTATTCTTTTGCTGGCTCAAGGACAGGTGCATAACACTGTGAGAAGCTGTGAGAAACAGCCCTATTTCTATTTCATTTCCATCAACTTGGTGACGGTAGAAGCAGATAAGCGATTCCAAATATATCTTTTAGCTTTCCCACTCTAAAGCATGACAGAGAAAGCAATTTTAATGTGCAACTAAAGATCTAATTTATCAGTCTGTGAAGTAGGCAGTTTTTCAAAATGAAAACACTACCTTGATAACTGGGTATTGGAACTGTCAGTCAAAGAATGATTACATTTCTATTTAAATTCTAGAGGGAAGTGAGGTGAAGAAAGAGGGATTTGGTGGACACGTAGGTAGGACAGGTCTGAGAAGTCTGTAGCCTCAACCCAAGGAAAGTCTCCTATTATTACTGTGAACAGATAAAAGTGAAATACTTGACGTATTCTTAAGAAGGGCATTTTCTAGAGCAGGGGTGTCAAACTGCCAACCCGCGGACTGGTTGCATCATACAGCTCCGGCAATGCAAAACAAGTCACGATACGTCACGACATGTCATGTGACGCGGCGAGCTTGACACCCGTGTTCTAGAGCAAGATTTGAATTGTTGGATTCCATGGCTAAATATCAGTGCTTCTATCACCTGCCATATCATGAGAAATGCCTCAGTTATTGAAGATATTCTCATGGTTTTTTTTTACTGTCAACAGTATGTATCTCTTAGATTTACATATTTAACATCCCTCCTTGGAAAGACGGCCCACAGGGATCTGAATTGCAGATTGTCCTACTTCCACCTGGGCTTTAAGCTACACATTGCAAGCAGAACTGCTAAGTTTATAGTTAAGGCAGCTAAGCCATTATATTGAACAGATCATGGTATCCTGTAAAGGTAATATATTTATCTGAATGCTGATTCTTTGTATTTACTACATATATATTTTATTACTGTATTTTCTTTGGTATATTTTACCCTAGAATTAAATCTTGTATTTTATTTTATGATATAATCATAAGACTAATCAATTAATAAACTACCACTACCACTGTGAACAGATATTTATTGATATATGTTTTGTAAAACAATTAGGAGTCATCTTGTTATGAAAGTAAAGAGAGGTAAAACTAAATTATAAACTTAAAGGGAATGCTTTTACAAATCTTTTTATAGAAGAATTGTTTTATTGTTTTACTCCAAAGCATGTTACCTTTTATACACACATAAGTATATACAAATACAGATATGGATACATAAGAATGCACACATTACAAGCCTTAAAAAAAATTCCAAATCAGGAAAGTACTTGGTGGTGACAGCAAAACCAATAGATGCTATAATGATCTCCCCAGATTACTGAAATTATGCTTTAGTGCTGAAGCGCCAAAACAAAAAACACAAAAAAATGAGGGCATCTACTGCAATCAAAGTGTGCCACACAGCCACTTTTCTAAAAGCATTGCTTGAATACAGGGCAATGCTACGTAAAAAAAAGCTTCAAAGCCTTATGACAGGCCTAGTGCTTGCATTCTTAATGTTATATTCATTTGCAAAATTCCATAAAGAAATCAGCAGAGGTTTTACACATATATTCTCCATTATTAGATAGCATAGAAAATATTAAATATATTTTCTTACCCACTACAATTGAGGATTCACAATGATAGTAGCCATTAGGTTGCTTTTTTTTCAACATTGAGCAAAGATCTAGACGGTTCATAAGTTCATCTCCAAAATAATGACTTTTGAAATTAGCAAACATGCTTGGATCAATTCTTTTCACTCCCTTGTAATATCAAAGAAAAAGCAGTCAGAAGAAGAGAAAGTGAACATCATACAATGAGTATATATAAAACATTTCATAGAATAACCTAAAAATGTGAATCATTGTGTAGTACTAGTTTAGATCTCATTCAGTTTTAAAATAAAGTTGACTATTTCCTAACTAAAGACCTAATTTAGAAAACTACTGGAGCTGTATGAATATATTAAGCATTACATTTCACTACTATAGCTTAACCAATAAGATTAGCATCTTCTTATAGTAGCCTTCTGCCTGTCAAAGAAAAAGATCAACATTGTAGACTGAAACTTGCTATCGATTGCAAATACAATCTCTCATCATGAATATATACTCTGTTCATTAGTACAATTCTTTTAATTGTTAAACAATATAATTAGCAACTATGGTTAACACGAGACTCATAGCTGATCTCTGGAAGCTCCAGGCTTTGCTGTTATATTCCCAGCTGTTCCTGGCAGTTCAGCTCTATCATTCAGACAATGGCAAGAGTGACAAGATGCAGTATGGCTTCATATTGTTTGAACTCTTCCTCTGGGTAGTTGTGCAGATTGAGCTATGCAGGCAGTAAATCCTTAGCTCTCTACCTATATTCTACTGCTCTCTTGTGATGAAGAATCAGTGCCAAAAGATTTGCAAATAAGGATTCCAATCAACTCTCCACCCCTCCAATAAAATAAACAAGAATTGGTGCCCAAGTTTGGGTTACTTTTTCCTAATTCTTTACACCTTTGTGTCATTTTTATGCATTTCTATGATGGAAATTAGCTCAATACTTTTGTTATTTCCTCTGTAATCTGATTTGAGGGTATTTTCTGTAGAACGTACATAGTTTATTTTAATACAAACATGCCAACACACACACACACACACACACACACACACACTTCAGGATGATGAGAGGTGCACCTGCTTGCCCTGCCCACAAAGCACAGAATTTTGAAGCTGGCAAATCTGCCCCTTTACTCTTTTCTCTTCCTCTTCCTTTCCTCAGGACTGTTAATAAAAAATATGGATAACAAAATACTTTTTTATTCTTCTCTTTTATCTCTATTTTCCCCTTTTCTCAATTGTTTCCCTGTGTTTATTTCTGAATAGAAGCCCTTTGAGGTTTTCCAATATGGCATTTTGGATAGGATTCCAAAAATGTATTAAGGATTGCAGAGAATTGTAAACTCAGCTCTTGGCCCCAACTATTTAAAATAGTTATGTCTTTCCAAGACCAAGCAGATGGCTTTCGTAACAGCTATACAATCTTGAGAAAAGGTGTGACTACTTTTACAAATTGCAGGCAGGTGCTGTACTCATGTTCCCATATACTTTATGTAACCGAATCTGAACATAACTTTCACAATCTAGTGCAATTTTTTTAAAAAAACTTAATTATGACAATTACTGTCATTTGTGATAGGAAGGGACTTCTGCTATTCTATGTGAAAGTATCATATAAGTGAACAGAACAACAACCAAGTGCATAACAGTAAATGTTACAATATTAATCTGTCATCTAGTACCTAAAGCAAGTATTGATTTAATAATTTGAAATGATTTCCTACTAAGCGATATAACATGTAGTCTCCTTCAAAATACAGGCATATCATATGTGTAAATTTTATATAATATTTAAAATAGGCAGAAAAAAGAGTTATGATCAGCTTTAAATTTAGTTCACTCAAGGCACAAATGACCAGACTCAAAGTATCAATAATAATAATAATAATAATAATAATAATAATAATAATAATAATAATAATAATAAAGTTGGAAGGGACCTTGGAGGTCATCTAGTCCAACCTCCTGCTCAGGCAGGAAACCCTATACCATTTCGGGGACATTACCTAGTTCTTTAGAAAAGTCTATTAAGTTGTGAAATATGATCGGAAAGAGAAGAGGAGGACAAGGTGCATGAACTCAATTATAACAGCAATGGGTGCAAGAAGAAGAACCAAAAGATCAGGTTAGGGGTATCTATCTATATATGGATGCTAAGAATCAAAACTGACTGAATAGCACAATAATCATCAATCATCCTCATCTTTTTTTGCTTAAAGTTATCTATAAATAACTTGTTATAGCTTTTTTTTCTTCTAGCAATTATTTATTTTGAACAAAATTTCTTGCACAAGAAACAAGCAACACTCTCAAAAAAATAAGAAGACATTAGAGATCTAATAGTAACTACTGTATGATAGATAGTTCTGTTTTGATTAATGCCTGAAATGTGGCTGACATCTAGTGGTGCATCATGTATGCTGCATATGAGCTGCTTCTTGATATCTTATCCCTTGCTCCTTTTAGTTCCATAGCAAGTATTTTTTAATCAATAACTATGGACAGAGGCTACTTTACCATCCGCACTGTCACTACAATACACTGTAATAGCATAATACAATATTTGCATTCCATCAACTGACCAAGGGATTCAAATGAATGAGAAACAGGAGACAAATTAATCCTTCTAACGAGGTGATCCTTTGTGCTCTCTGAACTTGGTTGTTTTCTTGCAGACGTTTCATTACCCAAACTAGGTAACATCATCAGTGCACTGAAATGTCTGCAAGAAAACAACCAAGCTCAGAGAGTACCAAGGACCCCTCATTTCAACCCTGAATTACAAATATTCTCCTTTATTGGGAACTCCTCTAAATATGAAAAGCTGGTCCCTTTTCCTAATTTTAACAAGAGAACTTCCAAAACTGGAAAAAGCAGTCTCATCGTCCTCTATGGATTGAACCTTCCTCATTTTATGTCTAAGACATCTATATGAGCGACCGGTTTCCCACCCTATCTTTCTTTAACTCAGATGTTTCTGTGGAAAAGGAAGACCTTGTGTAAATGCCTTACTCCAAATAAGTTCCCAAGTTCATTCAAAAACTAAATTTCATTCATTTGGGGGAGCAGAAACGTGTAAGTTAGTCCTCTCCTGTCTCCCCTCAAGATGCAGGCAATGAAGCCATCTGAACTGAATTTTATTTTGATGTCGTACCATGCTAAATGCTCCCTTTAGTCATGTTAGTCTCTTCATCCCTTGAGTTGTGTTAGTCTCTTCCACCCATCTCAAAGCATTTTTTTCCGCTAGGTGACAACCCTTCCGCCACCTTTGTTTTGACAATAGCACAGGAGAGTCTGGAGAAAACTGAGGAGATGCAGTCTTGGGGGAGGGGACCCTCTCTGGAATGCTGAAAGTGAGAAAATACAGCAAGTATGAGAGAATTTATTTAGGGAAGAGAAATTATTTAGGGAGGATCTGAGGATTATCTGTGTGTGTGCACGCGTGTGCGTGTATGTGCACAATTGTGCTGTTCACTATTGCTCATGTGCCTTGGGAATGGCAAGCTGGCCTTTTTTTATTGGAAGCAAGGGGGCTAGGGCTGAAGTCAAGGCCTAGGCCTCCATTTCAGGCCCAGTCTGAGTGTTTCTGCCAAAGGCCGCTATTCAGAGTGGCCAACATTGGGGGAGGGGAGTAAAGCATTTCTCTTTTGGCCAGGATGGTGGTAGTGTGATACACCAACAGAGTTAGGCAATCTTACATTTTTCACATGCCAAGCCCAAAAGGTTTGCCATCACTGCCCTAGAGGCACTGTCAAAGGCAAGAAGTTCACTTTTTTTAAGACCAATACCCCTATCATGGAATGTTTCTAAGCAAAGGATCATAAGACTTCAATGGATGACTAGAGGTGATGGGGAAATGCTTTACTTCTATGAGAAAGAATACAAAATAGACAAATTCAGAAAATAAATGTTATATAAAATGGGCTTTGATCGGAAAATATTAGCAAGGTATTTTTGCAACTGTATTGCAACAGCATACATACGAAACATGCTAGTGTATATACCTTTGTGGATACTTGTATGTAAAATAAGGCTATGCATCAATCAGAAATTATTCAAAAAAGATACAGTATACTGAGCACATAAGAATGCAAGCATGGCATCTCAGCAAAGGGGTTTTCATCTTTTCCAAATAATTTTCAAAGCACGCATAAGACTAAAATATAGTACCTGCATATAAATGTAAGAAGAAAAAATAGTATGGATTTAGGAAATATTGATCAAGCCAGGTAACACCATTGGAATAATTAGAAAATACTATAAGTGGAAGTCCACTTTAGAAAGAGGACAGGTGGCAAGAGGACTGGCACAAAACTTCTTAATTCTTACGAGGGATAAAGATAAAGTGAGGGGGAGAATTAGAAGTGTTCTTCATGGAAAATATCTACTTACAATACTGAAAATGGTTTGTAGAGAGATGGGGAATAGATTAATACTGTCATGGTATCTTCACTAGCAGGATACTTATGAGGGAACTGGTTAATGCAGAATCTGAGTACTTTAGGCTTGGGACCAGGAATGCATTGGGGATTTTGTTATGTACTATTCATTGAGTTTATTTTAGATGTCATTTTCAAGTTTTAGAAACATCTGGGCTTATTGTGCTGGGTGACTTCAATATCCACTTTGGAGCTGGTTTGTCTGGGGTAGTTCAGGAGTATAGAGTACCCTGTCATAACAGGGCAGTGGATCAATATAATGCAGCTTCCATGGTTAATTTGATGTTTTGTTCTAATCAGGAGGCTGTTCTGACAGTGGAATTATGGAGTTATGAATAGACTGCTATCTGGTTAAAGTTGGATTAATGGCTACACATCATCTTTGTGGGGACCCTGGATCTATTAAGATGATTTACTCCCAAAAAACTACTGGACAGATGACTTGACATGGTATTTTTTTATTATATGTCCTTCTGATCTTTGTTTGTTATTTCAACCTAGGAAGTTATTCAAGAAGATTTATTCAGTTCTGTAAATTTATTCAGTTCTGTAATATAAATAAACATACTACATTGTTTAAAGGAGTCAATTATTAGATATCTTAAGCACAATGGATCCCTTAGAGATATTTCTCAGGCAGATATTAATTGCTCCAATCTATCTCCAACCTTTTTCAATATTTACATGAAATGTCTGGTGAGGCATCATCAGGAG